ACTGTGGGGTTTACTCTGACGCCCGATGACTGCAAGGCTCCGCGGGAAGGAGGATGAATTGTATGTTTGCGTTTGTTTAGACCGCGGCGTGCCGCTATGATGCTCATCCAGATCGAAACGGGCACACGGGACATTTTACTGCACACTTGAATAGGCAATGGGTTCCCGCTTCTCCTCCTTCGCGCATTTTCCGCTGTGTGGCGCCCCCCTACTGTGGAATTTAGAATGGAACTTCGCCCCCGCTCCCGATCATGCTTTTAGTAGCAGTAAAGTGAAACATCACAGGGTGCTTTATTTGTACGCACTAACCTTTTTAGGGCTAAATAATTGGGGTTGTGTGGATATTTATACAGCGTGTAGTTGGTCAGCCATTTCAAAGTTGCGACGAGTCACTGGCTGTAGATGGGAAATTTAGCCAGTGCAGTACAACCGCTAGCTTGGGGTCTTTAACCTGCACCTCGCAGTAGTGATACACGACCGCACGCAGGTGCGATACTCATCTAGATCGAAACGGGCAAGTGTGGGGATTGAGCCCAGGATCGGTTCTGCGGCGCGAGCTTTCGCTCCACGTGCTTCTAGCTGGTTGCGCTATAGCCCACTTGGCCACCGATCCCCCTTTTAGGGCTCTGGTTACACGAGCTTGCATTTACCTTTGTTTTTATATACACTTTTTTTTTTCAATGCACTAACCGCCTGCCTGTATTCTTGACTCGGCTGGTTGGTCTTGATCTCGCACTCCTCTTTGTCTGTGATGTTCTGCTCCCATTGCTCATTCTCTTCGGTCTCCACCAAGGTTTCTCCAAGTTTATCTATTGCCAGCCTGCTTTTCTCGTGACTGCTATTTTCTTTTCTCTTTTAGTTTCTCTCTTTTCGTGCTTTCCCTTTTCTTACGCTCTTTCGACCGCAGCATTCCATTTTCTATTCCTCTTGATTGGGCAATCCGCGCTGCGCCGTTTCTTTCTCTCCCATTTTCACCGCAGTCTCCCGTATTTTGTTATGATTGTCTCGAGTCAATATATTCTTGATGTCTTTATCTTTCTCTTTTTTGTTTTTTTCTCTCTATTTTTCTCCAAACAAAACTGCTTACTTATTGAAGTCATTCGAGCGTGAAGACTCGAAAACGCGGGAAGTCGGGTGGGAAGACGCCCCGGATCGAGCCAGCTTCTTCCACGCTCTTGCCTTGAAAGATGAAGGCTCCAATGAGAGAGAGAGAGAAAGAAGGGAGGAGCACCATAAGCACGGCGGAAAGAAAATTATAAGGAGGACTATAGGCTATAGGAACAAAGAAGGAGGTGACAGGGAAGTAGGGTTAACGCTGACAGAGGAGAGGATCAACGACATTGAACAGCGAGAGAGAGAGAGGGAGAGAGCTGCACCTAGGTGGAGAAGGAAGGGAGTGGTAGAAGAGAGGGAAAACTGATGAAAATCGAACGCTAAATAACGGAGACCGAAGGAAAAAGGCAAACGACGGGAGGGTGTTTAGGAAAAGTGGAGAGGAGGCTGTGCAAACAAAGGAAGAGAGAGTGTGACCGGTTTCCAAGCATCGAGTCACTGGCTTTTGGGTAAGAAACTCCGCCCACCTCTAAGCTGACAGGGCGGTGGAGCTTAGGACCTCGTTGAACCAGTGATACGTCCATCTTTCTTCACGTGATCGCGTTCCCGAGCCTCCACCAATAGCGATGCGTGGAGTGCGGGGCCACGTGGTGAGAGTGGGACAGCTGATTGGGCTAGCGAGCCCGTATCTCTTTCCCCACTGTCAGCTTAGGGGTGAACAGATTGCGACAAAGTATGACGCTTGCCAGAGAAAGAGAGGGACGATTAAAAGAGGGAAAGGGGGAAAGAGCGTGTTTGTGACCGTGGTGAATGATTCTTTGGGAGCAAAGCCCCTGAGCGTCTCCTTTCGGCATCTTGCGGTCGCTGTCGCGCGAGCTGCTTGTTTTTCTTCCTTTTTGCGGCGGCTGTGGTTTTAATCGACGTGCCACGCTCGGAGCCGAGCGCTCATTAATAATGCCTCGTTCGCCGAGCTGCGCGGCGAAGATGCGTTCCAGGAGCGAGCGCGTTCGCTGGCTCGGGGACAGCCGGGAATCATCGCCGCGCTTTATTTGATAGCGTGGTGGTTAGTAATGCGATTAATGCGTTCTAGTATTTGCATCCGAGGGAGTGACTCCCCGAAGCTTAACGGTAAACGCAAGAAAAAGCAAATCTCGAAAGGAGGAATATACGCTTCAAACGGGCCTCCGAACAGCGCAAGAATTGAAATAATTTTTTTTAAAGATATTTTCTAGTGTCGAAAGAATAATTGTAGAGGGCCGGTTCGCTGTACACTTCGCGTTTTAGTAACGTTTAAACCGCCGATGAACAAAAGGGGTCCGCTCTTTTCTCTGCTTTTGTGTTAGACGTAGGGCTTCTGTATCGCACAAAAGGCCCTGTGTTGTTTGTGGACACATAAAATAAAGACTATTATTATTACTACCTGATTACACTTTTTTGAGATTCAGTCGACGTTTGAAAGCGTGCGTAAAAATAATTTTATGGGTTGAGGCGGGGTTGGCTGTCGGCTTAATAAAGGCAAACGGCCAACAATTTTTCATATTTGTGTGTGCATATAAAAATATTCGGTGATGGTCTTTTTTTATTTTCTCCAGTTCGTTCGCTTCGCTTCTGCGCTTGATTATTCCTTTCTCATCGATGGATTTTATGCGGTTATAACTGCCGTCGAATTTTGTGTTTATAACAGGGACCCTAAGCTCGTCAAACACCAAGTTCGAGCCTAAAGTTCTCGGGGCGCGCCGATTGGAAGCCGGGGACAAAAGCGCAAAGTCATCGTCGTGATCGTCCAATCGGCCCGCTGCGTAAACTTCGGCCCCAACCTTGTATTTGACGAGTTTAGGGCCCCGGGAATATGTTTTTATTTTATTTTTAATGGTGGAAGTTCAAAAAAGTTATTTGCAACCTGAGGAAACCGGACTACAAACGACGAGACCCGAGGTGATTCTTATTGTTTTTTTACTTGCCAAGAGCAAAATGGAGTGCGCTCAATCAGTGACGATGACGCAGCAGAAAGATCTTGTTCCCTTCGGTGCCCCTTTCTTTTGGGCGACGTCGAAAGCTCAGCGCTACGGCTTCGTTATTTAAAAGCTGTTGGCCGCCCTGATCGCGTGGCTAAAGCTAGCTTCACGTGATGCGATTTTACTTGCAACTTCGCAGTTGTGACGTCGCTCGTGCTGCAAAAATAGCGTGCTGGCAGCTGCGGAGCTTGACTTTGCAAGCAAAGTCGCACCTCGTGTATCGAGCTTGACTGGCTTCTTATCTGACGGCGATTACTCGTAAGTAAACTTACTGCGCAAAGAGAGAGAAACCAGCCCTACTTTCCAGAGTTATAGTCACCCAAAAATGCCCCAGCAAAACGTGTTTTTCTTTAATCTAGAAATTACTTTGTGGAACAAATAATTTTTTTTCGCTCGTCTACGTCCTTAATATTTGCTCACAACCATGGGCACGCTACCCCCGAATGCGGATTCGGCTGCGAACTTCTGTGATATCTGTTATACTCGCTCTGACGAGAAACTGAGATAGATGAGGAAGCAAGAGCACGCGGGAATGTTAGAACGCCGAGCTATGGTTAAAACTATTAGTGTGCAGACGCAAAGCTTGTCTCCCCTGCGCTCGTCGAACGCGTTATTGTGCGGGACGCCGGTGTTCCCCTGTTTGGCCTTCGCATTCGAACGCGTCCGACAAGGGCAGTCATACCTTTACGTCTACCCACTAATCCTTCCAACCAGAGATCGGCGTTCGAATGTCCCCGACCGCGCTCTCCTTTCCTCCTCTCCTCCCTCAGACTCTCGGCACACCGGCCTTTTCGTCGAAGCTGCGGAATCTCTGCTTACTGGTGGACACAGATGACACAACAACGCGCCCAATGCAACGAGGCGATGGATGGCATAGCCTTCTCTCTACTCGCAAAGCCTGGTATAGTTCGACGACGGAGCCATAGAGTGCCCGGTCGCAGATTTGGAGCGCGAGGACCTGATAGCACAGAGCATCAAAGAGCCATTTCTCGGGGAACCTGGACGTCAGCGCACAGCTTTTGCAGCGGCGAGGACCCGAAACACACTTGCTCGCTCGAGAGAAGTGTACACGTTGCAGAGCGCGTTGAAAACTACAGAATGCGCAGAAAGAATAAGACACATGAAGGACGAACACAGACACACACAGTTCTTTCATGAGCAACGAACATTTATGAAATGATATTGGTAGTGTCATGGGCATTTCATAAATGTTCGTTGCTCATGAAAGAACTGTGTGTGTCTGTGTTAGTCCTTCGTGTGTTTTATTCTTTCTGTGTATTCGGGAGTAGTGTGTTTCGGCGTTTCGCCGCAGCGGGGCGCCAGTCACGTGGCTCCCATCTGTTGTCTGCCGCTCCACCTTTTCTATTTCGGCGGGCGCTTCTCGTGGCGATGTGCTAGGCTTTGTCAGTAGATAGGAGGCTATGTGGATGCAAACACGCGACGTGAAAAGCGCAACGCCACTGCACTCGTGCGCTCGTTGTCTGCCTCTACGTATGTTCAAATGGGCTAACCTAATCGAGCGCTGGCATGCACCGTGACCCTACGGTTTTAGTCTGTGCGTTTGTGCTTGCGTTACTTCCAGTTTTATGTCTTCACGTTGAGCGGTGTCGGCTTGCTCCGCCGTTGTGCGGTGGTTCCGACCTTGTAGCAATCGGCAAGTGACGTTTCGAAAGAAATGTATCGGTTACCTCGAGAGTGGTGTTACACTTATTTATTTTTTCCCCTTCCTGCTTTCAAAAGTCTCCTCGCATATTTTTTTTCTTCTATGCCACTTTATGGGAACGCTCATTGCCATCTATAGCTTATTTCTTCTTCTACACTCATCCTCATCGAATTGCAATAACAGCCCAAGCCCGCTAAACGTTTCCGCAATAGGTGAGAAAAAAAAATAAAACACCCCGGCGTCAAGCGTACGCCACAGCAATAAGGATTATGATTAAGTGATTCGTTGTACTGCTCTTCTTACCACTCGCCCACGCAGGGCTTACGTACTGCTGCCCGGTTACGGCAGCGTTGGCGACCCCTTGCATTTCCTTGTTCCAGTCATTTCTGTCCTCGACTGTAATGTATTTTTATCTTCCCACCGTTCCCTTTACTCCCCTCGGTGTTGTCCTATGCTGACTCGAATCTTAAATGAGAGCCATTCTGCTCATACATCATGTACAAAAGACACGGTTTGCGGACATGATGACGGACTGATGTGCGGACGCGCCTCAGGCATGTTTGGAGCATGGTTGCTTAAAACACGTCGGGAGACGGTTGTTGTCTGGTCAACGTCACGGGGCCCTCAGACAAGGAACAAACACGCCTAAGGATAGTGTCCGCACACTCTTCTTTGTATGATGTTTTCGCGACGCGACTGCGGATTTAAGAGCCTGTAAACTGAACCGAGACGTTCCGCTCTTCCACGCAGGGTGCCTGTCCATCCTCGAGCACGTGGCGGAGCCATCCCTGGTTGCCAACTGTTCCGCGGCCGTCCTGCGCTGCCGGCTGGACACATCGGGCCCAAACCTCGAAGTCTGGTGGACGTTCCACGGCGAGAACGCCTCCAAGCTCCCGAACGTCGTGCTCGTGCCTCCGCCGAGCCGCAACGCGACCTCTGTTGGCAACCTCACCAGTCCCGTCACCACCACTCCCGCGACCACCGCGACCACAACCGCCGCGTCCACGAGCACAGCCGCAACCGGAGCCAACGCCACTCAGACAACACCGGCGCCCCCATCGTCATCGTCGCCCGTGACGTCAACGGCGGAAGCGAGTTTGGATGACGTCACCACCGTTTCGGATGACGTCGGCGACAACGCGGCGGCGACGACGACGGTCTCCCCGGCGGCCCTGAGCACGACCGTGAGCAGTTCGGGTGGATCGGAGGCGACCGACGAAGAAGCGGCAGACGACGAGTCTGTCTGGACGCTTCGGCTCAACTGTCCCACGCTCGAGCACGCCGGAAGTTACGCCTGCTACGCACTCTCCAGAAACGCCAGCGAGTTCATCTACAAGAAGGAGGCCTCGCTCGACGTCTACGGTGAGTCCCGTCCTCTTGCGGCCTTGCGGCCTTTTCACGTAGAATGCGTTTAAGTGCTGGACTTGGTGCGAAAAGCGTCACGCTCGAGCGTAGCGAAGAACCGTTACTCGCAGGCGAAGAAAACAAAAGCACACGTAGTTCATAGCGGGAAAAGTATAATCATACGAGGCGTATAGAAGAGATAATTACTCAAAGATAATAATGATTACGCGTAATTAATCTTAATTAGCGAGATTTACCGAGCGTCCCAGCGAGGATCGAACTTCAGCCCGACGCCTTTGCTCTGCGCCTCCAGGGGGAGGCGCACAGGAGCCCAAGCAATTACGTGGCTACCGTCGACGTTTGCAGTGGCTCCCGAATGACTTGGCGTAACTTGCCACATGATCTCTTGACGTCACAGGGGCATCATGAAGCATCAACGATTCGCGCACCGGGCGTATGGTCTCAGGACTTTGAAGTGTAGTCCATGGGTAGCGTAGCGGGCGCGAGAAACCTCTCCCCTTGCGACAAGGCATCATGTGACATAGCTTAGGTCACCGCCGGCAGCGTGAGAAACATCCTGCATCAGGCGAAGCATCGCGCAATCTCCCGTGGTTTCCAGAGTTCACGAACGAGCAATTCGAGCCCAATCAGGCGAAACCGATGCGGCATGTCCAGGACCAGGAGAGGTTGTATAGACCTTTCCAAAAATGTATCTCCGGCCGCCTCCATTTTGCGACTCGGGCTCCCGAGTCGCAGAACAGGAGCAGGATAGCGCAGAAATCCCTGCCCTATCTGGCAGGGATTTCTGTCACCCGCCCGAACTGGGGAAACCCGGTCAGCGCGACTCTTCACCTGCATTGCGCATTGGGAGTTCACCGGAATTTCTTAATATGTTTTACTTTATTTGCCTGTTCCAGATGCTTAGCCTTTTTGCGTTAAATTCCGCTGTGAGAACCAGGCCTCATAGCCTGCTCGTCGATCGCGGGAAATGAAGAGAGCGAACGTAAGCAGCACCGCTACGCGGGCAGTTCGATATTCTTGGAGGATTTTCTTCATTCAGATAATATCAGAAAAGTCTCCCCGCTATGTTCCCGGTCTTCGCGAATAATAGCCGATCGGATCCGGGGTAGGCGATGAAACAGACACGTCCGGTCCTTGGGTTTGGTGCTGTGCAGAAAAACGGCTTTCTTCATAACGTGTCCTAAAACAAGCCGGATTCCGTCTGATCGCCGTGAAGTGACTGTCGTCGTCACTGTATATTGGATAAGCTGCGTTCTTTTAAATCTTTCTCAAGTACCCTTTGTTCGGATAACGCGGCACCGTGGGGTACATGCAATTGGGAGTTTTAGTATATCGTTTTTGTCTTCCGCTACGGTATCCGTAAAAAAAACTCCGCAGCTGGGCATGTGCGCCGCCAGCCTTGTCTGCATAGTTTAAGGTCTAGTAGCGTATTACGGAGCGCTGTGTGGGTGCTTAGCGGGCTGCGGAAACGGTCTACTCAAACTCCCTAATATGTTGTTCGATTTATGAGACTGGCTGAATTTCATGTTGTGAGTGGGGACGCGTGTCTTTCGGCTATCTCTCTTAAGTCGACGCATAAAGGGGGAAGTCACTCATTTCTACTGTGGATCTTCAAGTGATTACGACTATAATGGGTGCTAAAGCGAAAAGAAAGGAACAAACGCCTGCGCTGTTCTGAACAAAAATAAACGATAGTTATTCGGCCATTAAAGCTAACAAACTCGGTTCATACAAAACACGCCAAAAGCAAAAAAAAAAAAAAAAAAATAAGTTTACCGTTGTACACGTTACAAAAAGTGTTAACCGTCGTAAGCACCTTTTCTCGCTTTAAGATGCCAAGTAATTTTAGTCATCAAATTAAAGTACAGAGTACCGGGCGGGCAGCAGCAACCAACCCCTCGTCGAGATACGTTACCGTCCGGAAGACTGTTCGCGCAGAGAGAGCTAAAAGACCAACATCCGGCCACCAAACTTGGAGGGGCGACAGCTTTGCAGCTCGGCGTACATCGAGAGACTCAAACTTCGCCTCACTTTGCGATGAAGCGCAACGGACGCTACGAGCCGACGAAGCCATTGCAACGCCGTGCGAGTGTTCACGTGAACTTGGGAAGGATTGCAACGACGGGGTTTCCCCCGCAAACCACGTGATGCGTTCGCAGGGTTCGATTGGCTGGCAGGGCCTCGTAGCTTCCGCTGTCGTCCGTCGTAAGGCGCAACGGAGTTTCCAGGTCCGGTCTTTTGAGGTGTTATCGACGGTGCCGCCGTGCTACGGACGTGTGCGATTTTCAAGACGAGCGAGTCCCTTCGCGCTTCCGCGTCCGGGGCTCCGCGCCATCTCACCGGGCTGCTCCAGTGTTGACGCAGCCCTCAGGATATCCGCTGAGACAAAAAACAAGCAAAAAAACATTGAACGCACGATAAAGAAAACAGTAATCGTTTTTAAATGGTTTTGCTTTACATCTGTTTTTTTTTTTCTTTTTGTGTTTTTTAAGGCACGTTTGCGAGTAAGTTAGCAGCAGGAGCTGTAAAACACTAGTTTGACTGCTCAGTCAAGCTTCCCCGAAAACAAAAACAAGACATAAAAGAGCGCCAGCGCAATATTTATGTCGCCAGACTAACTTTGAGTCTCGCCTTACTTGACAGTGATACGTCAGGCGATAGCATAGCATCACTGACATGACGTTACAGTACATTTTGACGTGATACCGTAGCTTCGCGCTTCACTCTGCTCCTTGTGGCAGGGAAATCCGATGTGAACGCGCATCGCGGCCAGAACGCATTGCTGTTTGGACTCCATACTATGTGTATAGCGATACCACGAAGACCATCACAGAGATTCTCACCGTGGTGAACTTGCTGCTTGGCAAATATTTTGACGGCGTCGACCTCCTGACACGCTGTAGTACTAATAAGCATATCTAATGTGTGTTTTACGCGAATATATTTTGATCGGTGGCGGAGAATGGTCTGTGTGCAGTGCCATTGTGTCTAGGCTGCGTGAAGCAAAGTATGCACCGCCTCGGCTGTCGCCGCAGTTCACACTCTACACGCGGGAGCCTCAACTGCTGATGGTGGAGCCTTGTCGATTTCGTCAGGGGTCTTCTTAAAGCGACGAACCGCTCCTGGTAGAATTTCTTTTTTTTACAGGTAGTTTGATTGTTATTTTTTGTCACTGGTCATTTTCTTCTAAGCAGCCGAACTCTCACCGCTAGCGCAAGTCCCTCAAGCGCGTGCGGCGCTGTTTTCGGTGTTCTACACGGTGACCTTAAAGGGGCTCTGCAAAGTGAAGGTTGTGCCTACCATTGTCAGACATGAGCGTTCAGTAACGACATTGGTCTAGAACGTCGGATAATGACGGCATATAATTCTAGAGGTAGAGCTGGGAAAATAGGTGCACGTGACCTTTTCTGATCCTCTCAAGTGCGTGATTCTTTGCTTGGAACATCTTTTAAATCGGTGGGGTGTTCACATCTTCATAACTAGATGTTAATTCCAACAATTAGGAAGATCGCGCCTGGTTGTTGCACGCTCCTGTCGTTTGGTGTCGACCAAGGGCGTCATCAACAATAGGATATGTGCTCATAATTCTGAACTTCTGTCATCTATTATGTGAAAGATACTTTACATTTCTCTTTATTTTATTTTTAATGTGTTGCTGGAAGTCCCACTCACTAGTTCAAATGAACGCGATGAAAATGAAAAAAACAAAATGGCCAGGAACACTTTGCAGGGCCCTTTTAATCCAGGGCCACACTGCTTATACATCATACAAAAGACAGTCTGCATAGAGATTTGAACGCGAGTCACCGTGAGAGTCTTCGAATTCCGTATGGTAATGAGTTCGAGAAGAAACTTGGCACGCGGCATTCCGACCACGGATATTGCGGTGTCTCGTGTTTGCAGACTGTCTTTTGTATGGTGAATGGGCAGTGTGGCCTCGGCTTTAGGGCAATAGGTGTCCGACCATGGTGCGAGCGCGCTCAATGTTGACGCTTCACGAGCAAGGGTATAAGCTTATTCGTAACTCGGAATCCCCTGGGCCGTGGTGACCGGGCACCCACTGCTGTAGGGTGAGTGATATGTGGAGTGGGAGGGCATAATGCGCGAAAGCCCGAAGGGCACTTTTGCCATCGCTTTGAATAGTTACGATGGGAGGGGGTGGGGGAGGGGGGCGGGCGGTGGCGTGGGAGTGAAGGCAAAGAGCCTCAGTCATGGCGAGGATCTCAGCGGCAGAGCGGGACGGAACTGCCGTGTGGCGGGGACGCGCGATGTCACTGCGGAGCCCGACAATCGCCTTGGTGGTTCCGACCACGATACGAGCAGCTCCTCTGGTACGTGTCATGGGAAGGAGTTGTGAGGCGGTCGGCTGTCGCTTGCCGATGTCTTTGAATGGGTTCCGCATCCTTGTTCCATTCCCGTGCATCGGCAGGATCGTGAGTCCGGGGTATGACGTCCCGTGGTGGAGCGATTGGAGGTAGAGTATAGGCAACTTCTGGACGTCGTAGCCCAGTGTGTGGAGGATGTTACATCGTTGGGTATACGGAGGCGATGTTGTCGAGCCTCCCGGTGTGCTCGGGAGTTTTTCGTGGACGGTATTGTGCGGGACAGCCGCCTGGACATTGAGTGCTCGGGGCGTACCGGAGCGTGTACATCCATCTCAATGCGGCGGCATTCTGGGTTGCGCGGCTTCGAAGCGGCGCCTTTGGCTGTTGGTGGCGGTGACGTGGAGGACGCCACGCATAATGCGCGAGTAGATGGTACCCTCCGCGATTTTGACCGGTTCATTTTCGCGGAGGCCCGAACGTCTTTTGCTGATACGGGTCATCGTGTGGGTGATCTGCCCAACCTGGGTTAGGGTGCGTCGCAACCAGTTGGTGCCTCCGCCCTCTTGTTGCCGTGTAAACTCGAGGATGCCTATGACTTTGCGGCGGGGAATGGGCTCCTCCGCCATATTCAACTGAACGATGGCGCGGTAGGCGTCAGCTTTGTTGGTGTGG